TCTTGTGTAGATGGCAAAAATAAACGGTTTCTTAGCGAGAGAGAGTTGAGAGAGGGATGTTTGTGTGCATCTGTTTGTAAGCAGATGCAAGTTTCTGAGCTGTGGGTCAGTGGGCTGATCAGCCATGCATCTAGCCCCGTATTTCTGCCCCATTGTGCTAATGGAGGCAGTGGAGGGCAATACAAGACAGTGTGGATTAGATGCCTTGGGAGTGAAATCATCTGTAGGAAACAGGGAAGACGTTCCTGCTATCCAGATTATCTTAAACTTCAACGCATGAGTGTCTCATTTCCTTGTGTCTTACCTGTGGCTTTCAGTTACCAAGTTAGCTATTTAATCTTTCTATTATAAAGTTAGGTATTAAATCTTCTGAGCTTTTGGCCTTGCCCTGATAGCTTGTGACAGGGAGCAGGCTCCAGAGGTGGTTAGTGCTCTCTTGGATGCAGCTGATATTGCTGGCCAGAGGTTACTTGGTGTTTCCTTGCCTGGCTCTGCCGAGGCCCTTTATGACTTTCTGTCATGATTGTGAAGCTTGGGCATAGCGACAGCGTACCAGAAGCTGGCTAGTAGTTAACATGTTTCTTCTGCCCATTTAACTTTGCCTAGGACGCCTTTTTCTAACGCAGTGGCACTCGCTCCTGACTCATTCCCAGGCATCCAGAGGCTGCAAACATTGCTGCTCCCCGCTCTCCGCGCGCTCCGTCGTTGGAGGCACTCTGAGCAGCCTGGTGGCGTGAACGCTTTCGTTCACAGAGGCTGCGTGTGCCTTGGGAGACGGTTCTCGCCGTGTTGTGCCAAGTAAAGGTGCAGTCGATTGTAGGAAGAGATACTTGCTTATTAATAAGGAAGTATTTATTAATGAAGTAAGTATTAATAAGCCGTGTTTGCTTTTTCTTTGACTGTGTATGTGCAGTCTAGGTGGCCAGAGCATTGTGCGATACTGTGACCCGCGGTGGCTAGTCTTAAAAATGCTTGAGAGGGAGGTTAATGTATTCTGAGGTGGGTGCGGCAGTCAGCGCTGGCATGCACACGTTGTGTACTTTTCCTGCGCCCTCTTAAAAAGGTATGGTGCAACAGTTGTACGAGCTAGAGTGTGATATGTGTTGGTAACCGGTGATCTCTTTGTCCATACCCATTACTTCAGGTTTTGTCCTGCCCTGGGTGCTTTGGGTGCCAGCGTGAAGGGAGAGAGAGTGCCAGTCTGTATGAGAACGTGGTTAAGAAAGTCATGGCGTGGGTGTCTAAGGTGGTGTTGCTGCCCTTTGCTTTTTAAAAAAATCACAAATTTAAAGCAGCCTAGAAAGATGAAAAGCCTGAAAGCGCGGCCGTTGAGGATCCTGGCCGACCTCTGCGCTCCATCCGCCGCGCTGATAAGGGCGGGCATGTATGCTGCTAGTGTCGCGATCTGGGGTTTTAATGTAACTTCAGCACAAATTGCACGTGGGCTTGGCGTCTTAGGTGGCAGACCTTCGGTGAGACTAGCAGTTGTAGAGCGCAGGCAGAAGCGCGAGGGCCCGGGAGGGTGGAGCTGCTGGCCGCCAGGCTGCGGAGGGGGCGATCGCACACAATGGCGGGGCG